TGCGCTGCATACTATTAAAAATTGCTCATTACTTGAAATAAAACCTACCTCGCTTATGACTTCTTTAGGAATATTATCCTTAACATAAGGTGCGACATTATTGTAGATCCTTCCGTACAATTGCACGGTATTTTCGGACTTAGACCACAGGCCTTGCTGAACACTATAGTAAACAATACCGCCTACGAGGGTGGCTTTGACGGCAAACCTGCAGACATAACCCCTCGTCGTGATTCAATCTCATTTCACGTGAGAATGTAACATGCGAATACCGTGACAGTGTGCCTTCTCTACTCCTCAGTGAATGTACTAACCGCACGACGCCCATTATTCAGTCGGAAGTTTCTTCGGTAAGCAAATTTGATACGAAACGTTCTAATCGTACCGCTTGTCAGCGAGACAAAAGTGAAAGGCTTACGTAAAGTCCGCCATTTTTAAAGTCGATTTTTGTTTCGAGATCGATTCGAGACTAAAATTGCCAACCTAATCTACTTTTTTCGTTCATTTCCTATGTTCATTCACATCAGAGAGAAGACTGAGGCCGAATTCCCATTAAGTCGCATTATCCGCCGCGTCACGAACTAACCAATCAAAACATCCCATTATATTCGCGCGGCAAATGATGCAATAAAATGGGATTTTGATTGGTTAATTCGTGACGCGACGGATGACGCCGCGCGTGACGCGCTTAGTGGGAATTCGGCCTCAGTCTTCTCTCCTATATTCACATGATGCTAGTGAATTTTCAATGAAATTATGAATGCGCATGCGTCATGTTTACTGTTTACACAGGTGCAACAAAAAGGCGCGCTGTTGACGATTAATAAATATTTTGCTTTTTTTCTTGTGAAATTGATTTTTTTTAAATTTATTAAAATTTTTCCAATAATGATCGTAATTTAAACTGATAGTAATGATTTGATATTCAGTGGAGTATTGAATTCTAACCTCAAAGTTTGTGATTTATAATGTGGCCAATCCAATATGTGGAGTTGAAGGTATTAAAAGCATTGATTTGTTGTATATTGTTATTTTTTCTAAGAAAAGATTGAAGAGGTGAGTTAAGCAATATATTTATTTGTTATTGCAGCTTATTGATGAGTTTTTACAATGTGGAATATGTTATGAATACATGGATACTAGTGTGATGACTTTGTGCTCTCACAATTGTGAGTAACTCAGACAAAGTTTTTTTTTATTATTTTCTGTCATACATATATTGTATATCTTTTCTAATTTTAGATTGTTCCCTCTGTATTAGAAAGTATCTGCATTATAAGACACAATGTCCAATTTGCTTGGAAGAAACATTCGAAAAAGATTTAAGAAAGAATAAGATTTTGGATGAAATTATCTCTCAATATTTGAATGTTAAAGAAAAACTCTTGAAGAAATTTCATCTTGAAGAGACACTAAAAGTGAAAGATAAAAACTTTGAGGAAAAAGAGACTGGAAATGTGTGCTCCTTAAATAATTCAGAATATAAGAAGAAACAAGATGTTTTTGATACAAGCAAGATATTGCATAAAAGTTCTGATAGCCCAGTACATAAGAATAGTAATATTACACCTCATGGAAAAAAGGATTATCAGGATGTATCCACTCCTAGCACTAGTACAGAACGTAGGATACCTCTAATGTTTACACCAAAGAGTACGAAAGGTTTTCCAAATGATGAAAACTGTCAAATAGTAACATGTCCAGTGTGCAAAGTAGATGTGTCCCAAAATAATATAAATAAACATTTGGATCAGTGTTTAAAAAGGGAAAATGCAAAAGATCAGCCTAAAAAGTAACTTATATATCATATTATTTAATATTATATATATTTATTATATATCATTAACATTGTGATATATCAGGGTATCAATATTGTTTTTTCTTTTTTAAAACAAATTAATATATTGTTTAAATATTTTTGAAAATTTGTTTTTATATATTTACTTATTTTGCAGAAGTGAGTCAAAGCGTAAACCCTTGCCAAAGTTAGTGCTAAATTTAATGAAAGATAATGCCATAAAGAAAAAACTTAAAGAATTAGGCTTATCATCTCAAGGAGATCGAAAAGTATTAGAAAGCAGATTGCAAAGATATATTATTCTTTATAATGCAGAATGTGACAAAATAAATCCAAGGCCTATATCAGAATTAATTAGACAATTTGAAGAAGAAGAGAATTTGGAAAAGAAAGTACAAAAACCATCAAATGTAAGGATATACATTATACATAATTATTTTACATATTTTTAATTTTTCTCTTTACATGTCTACATAATATATTAAATTTTATAGAGATTGAATGTCAACCGAAATACGGAACAGAATGTTATAGAACAACAAAGAAAAAAATATTGTAAGTATCTTTGAGACATTTGTAAATGATTGAAATACAAATATTATATATTCTCTTATTTTTTTCTTATTTTTATTTTTAGTGGCTGTAAATAAAGATAGCTTTGACCATTTAATTGCAAAAATAAAACATGCCGATAGTCCGCAAAAATTATCTGTCAGGCGCAAGATATTTAGCAAAGAAAATCCTGATGATTCACATGAAAGTCATATTACAGAAAACGATTCGACTATTAGAGATAACGAAAAAAGTAATTTCTTATCACCGAATTCTGCCAATCCTTATATTGAAGATTCAGATTCGAATGCAACTTGTCCTCTACAAATATATTCTAGCACAGATCCTATGAAATTTTTGACAGTAGAATTGGCTTCTTCATCTAATGATTCTACCGAGCAATCTGCTTTCATTCAAGAGACTCCAAAGCGTCGACGTAAAACCAATCCAGTTTCATTCAATTTTATTGTAAAGACAGAAGAATCTCTCGAAAATACTTTAATACATGAAAAGATAATTTCTAGTAACTCAAGAGAGTGTAACTTTTCGGAGGACAGAATGGATACTGATACTATAGAATCAGTTTCCAAGTATACTAGAATAGAATTGGAGAATAGAGAGCGACAAGTCAATTCATCCGCGGAAAACAGCAGAAGTGGCTTGAAGTATAGTCCAGAGAAATATATTGGAGATTCCGAATCTAGAGATAGTTCGCAAAGGGAATTATGCAATAAAGATACAGATTCAATTGTACAAGACATCGAGAGTTTCGTAGGAGACAATGAAAGTGCTGAAGATGATCATAGTAAGTAATCTGTAATATTAAAAGAATCATAAATAAAATCTTTTGCATTTTGATTGTCGTAAATCTTTTTGTCAAAATATAATAATAAATAATGAATAGATTTAGTTGTTACAGAGAGATTAAAGCAGGAGCAATTACATGACGCGAAAAAGGAATATGTGTCCGATTGCACAAAATTTGAGAAAGAAAATGTGGAATCACTGGATGAAACTATAAAAGTTTTTCGAAAACGAGAGCGTGAAGTGACGTTTATATCAAGTGACGAGGAAAAAGCTGAAGAGAAATCGATGAATACCAGAAAATCACTTAGACTTGGCCTTACCGAAGCTAAGGGATTCAACAATGGAAATATCTATGAGAAAACGAGGAATGAAGAAAATTCGCAAAGTAAAAAGAAGCAGACTCGTGGGACATGTGCGAAGAGTACACGAAATTGTACAAAGAAATCTGTTAGATTGAGAAATAAAATGTCTTAGATTAAGAAGTGAAATTGGTGTCAGAAACATTAGTTGAAAATTAAAATAGTTGAATCATGGAATAAAAAAATTTTTATATATTTTGTTGTGAACGCTAATAAGGAATATTTCTTCTGCATTATTGATCAATGACTATAGTTTTTCATATTTGATTGTTGTATTATGTACATACATTTTCATAATTATATAAATGTATATGCACACGGTGCCTTTGATATATAAAAAAGACGTATAATGTTTATATATTTAAAAAATATAAAACGATAAAAGTGTAATATATATTACTGTCGAGTGTTATTATCTTACTCATATGTACTTTTTAATTTTGTACAATAATATATGTAAAAATATTTCCAGAGCATCAGCTCAAATAAAATTTACTTTATAAATACATAACAAGTTTTTATTAATAAAATTAACGTAAAAAGTGTATGTTTTAAACATGAATTAATATAGAAAAATATCTTAACCAATAAATTTCCATTTTCGTAATTATATTATAAACAAAAATTTCTATTACGTCATTCTAATGTTTGGTAGGGAAGATACGAAAATCTTTATATTAAAGACATTAAATTTTATTGAATATATATATATATGTATATATATATATATAATACTATTCCAAACGGAACAAAAGAAAGCCGTCAGTGATAAAACGATCGGCGCAAATCTCTATAAACTTACATTATTGATACTAACAATAATTTAATAAGCTTAACACAATGTTAAAATATAGCTGCTTGTCTTTAACGATCGCTTATACAGTAAAATATCTGTCTTTGATATTACACAACTTTGATATTAATACACTTTGGTATCGATTTATACAATTATACAGTTAACTTTATATATACATCGTGTAATTCACGATAAAAGCTGATACTCGTCTAATCTCTTAGATTTACAGGCGCTAATGTTCTAAACGGAACGACTATCACATTCATTATATATTGTTCTCGCCTAATTCTCACTTAACGTTATTGCACTTATCTGTAATTTATACGGTGTCGATCTTTTTTTCATTTCTTTAATGTACTAGGCGCGTTGTTATTGCAGGAACGAAAATGTTTTTTATGGTTTAAAAAATGTAGCTATTGTACATGATTCATGAATAAACATTTGTTTCTAATTCCTGTATTTTAACGTTTCATAGGATTAACAGCTTAGCAAAATGGTTCGCTGTTTCTCTTGCAATTTTTTAAATATTTTTCTCATGATTATGAAATATTTTCTTGCGCGTAAAATATCTTTTCTTCTAAACAGATTTGCATATAGTCTCTTAATAATAGTTTCCCTTCTGCTATGGTATGGCATCACGCGAGGTAGTTACAGAACTCTGATACATCCCCCAAGTATGCTACAAGCGATTCTAACTTCTATCCTATAGTTCTGTTGACTTTTTGAAAATAGTAGGAAGATCCAAATTTTAGACGCGTGAGACATTATTCGACAAGTGGCAATTTATTGCAATTTATTTGCCACAAATTCGCCAACAATTCATTCACAATATTTGTTCACGACGCTTATGATTAGATTGTCTTTTGATTCGCTAAGACAGAGCTGGACAAGATTCATAGTTTATTGTTAGCCCAGTTCCGCACTAAGAGACTAAGATAATACCCTTAAAGTAATGAGATATTACCACGGCGAAAAGATTGCCTTCGGCATTAAAAGGCCAACAATTTCTCCTAATATTTTCTTATTGTTAGTACTCTTTTTTTAAGTGGACATTTCGGAAAATAGATTATCTCTCATGTTTGTGTAAAGAAACTCGAGTTCTTTTTATCACATAATTTAAGTACGAGAATATTAACGGCTGCATATATTCTTCCCTAATTACAAATGGACGAGGCTAAAGCCAAAATGTAAATTAGCTGCCGCAGATAAATTTTCGTGTATTTCGTGTGTAGTTAACTTTTTACACGTAAAATTTATTATTCACATTTTACTCAATTCATATCTTTATTCATATAAATTTGCGACAATGAGTGTCAAGCTCGATATAATTATACACCTTGTGAGATAAAAATATAAGATCTACACGACAGATATCCCACACAGTAGCATTTCTTTTTATTTGAAAGAATCGGGAAAACTTGTACTTTTGGACAAATTCGAAATTTAATTTCAAGTTGAACAGTTTTAAATATGCATTAGGAGAAAATATTATATTATAAGCGTCAAATTCCTTTAGAACAGCTCTGCTACTGAAACTCACTTTTCATAGAATATTTTTTTATTATTGAATAAGTATTGATAGGATACGTAGTTTACAAGGATATGTAGGATATACTACAAGCTCTCAGACGAGTTTCTCTTTTCACGTTCGTGAACATATTTAAAAGACTATCTTTACAACTATGTACATATCGCGGTTTTTATAAAAAAGTCAAGATTATTTTCTCGACAAATAAACAACAGATTATATTTTTTGAGTCGACCACGTTTTATTGTTCTTTTCTCAAATTATGTTTTGATTGGTTTTTTGATTCTCGAAATCGTTGAAAGAATACGTATTACTCATAAGAACTTTTTGGAAATATTACCGCAAATTATGAGAAATATTATTAACAAACAACGATAATTAATCAAAGAGATTCGGGCCTTCGAGCTGAGGGCACTTCAATTACTCTACAATTAATGCGCGGTCGATCTGTCAAACAAACATCCTTCTGGGGCGACAGCCAATGAATCACGTTAGACTGCGGTTTCGGTGGAACTGCAGTCATAAATAATATTGCTTTGCAAATTACGTTGAAACTGGCAGATCGCATGCAAAATTGAAGCTGAAAATTCAGTATTACATTTCTGAGTGACATTATAATTTTAGATCTCCAGAGTTTAGATTCCTCTGAAAGATTTCAGCAGGAACGAGTAGCTCTCTTATCCCTGGATATTCGTCAGAAAATAATTTGGATGGCATTGAAAAATTTTTTTCTCATCTTTCTCGATGACAGTCTTTTATAATCAACCAAGAGTACCAAAGACGATTTATTGTTATGATTAGAAACATATACGCTGTGTTTTTCAAATATAATGAGATTATCTTGCGAAAATGTATTTTCACGGATGATTTTCTTCGTTGTTAACAATAAATTTACCTTTTTTTCTGATGTGGAGGATAGACCGATTTATCTCTTATTCTCCTATATTCTTCTTCTAGAGTCTCCTCTATTAATTTTATTTCATTTTTCATTATATATTTTTTTCTACATATTTTTATTTATTCTCATTATCTAACTCTTAAAGTAGCTCTTTATTTAAGAAAACTCAGCGTCTTCGTTCGGCTTCTTGGTAAACTGTTTTCTACGTAGGATTCATACCTAAATCGTCAAATCCAACAATGCTCACAGGAATATTTCGATTGCATCGTTTCTTTTGTGGTCTTTCTATTTCGATCACACACTGGGTTAGTGTCACGTTACATTGTCCCGTTTGGATCTCCTCATCACCGTGATGCCTATTGAGCCGCGTATCTTGCGCAACAGATCTATTATATCAGCTGTGGACATATGTTCCACGCTGTCCTCATTAACCTGGTGAAAAAAAGATGAAATTCCTGAATTAAAAATACGACGCGTGATACGACGCTTCTCGAAATCTGTATTGATCTTGTTGATCTTTTCATTTTTGAATCTTTCAATTCTTTATACGTTGAAATAAGTAAATGTTTTTCGTCGTAAATAAATAAATAAATAATATATGTATATATAATATATCGTCTTAATTTTCATAAACTATGTTTTGTCACGGAAAGAAGATATAGGCGGAAAATAAATTTGACTCACCATCAATAATACGTCGCCTTGCTTGAGCCTACCATCCTTAGCCGCGACGCTGTCAGGATGCACGACCGATATTACTGTACGATTTCCTTCCGGCTGCAAACTAAAGCCCAGCCTGCTGTTCCACCCACGCGTCAGCTCCACCATGAACACCTGCAACAGCAAGTGCGGATTGCGCAACATTGCGATGCAGCATTCTCAATTGTCACATGTTCACATATTCCAATATTAAAACATCGAACGCGATAAAATAGATATCAAATAACAAAGTAAATTTTTTCAATAAAATGAATTGTTTGTCATAAAAAGGCACTTTAAAACGCCCACTTAGTTGCCGATAAAATTCGATTATAGGAATCCAATCGAGAGACCAACCTCACTGCCTTGTTCAATGTCTTCAGTGGGAGCGACCGAATCCGTAGTGTCCTTTCCAAGTTTTTCCTGGTCGTGCTCAGTTTCTTGATCCACTTCGTCATTTGGAGCGAACATCACGCCCTTCCACTTCAACAATCCTTTACTACCACCCGGGTCATCCGTTCCGAGGATCTTTCCTGTGCAACACGACAAAAAACCGAGATCATTGGATTGGAAGTAACGCCGATTGACGTTCGCGGAAAATCGGTCGCTGCTTTTGCACAGCGACGTAACTGTTATCTTATCTCTCTCTCTCTCTCCTTCTCCCGCGTCGATGATAGTAACACAAAATAGACTGCGTATATATTACACGCGATCAGAATCGATTTTAGCGGCAATAATCAATACGATTTTAATAGTAATATATGTTTTAAAACTGCAGCTTACATTTAAGTACTTATATACTTAAGAACGCGTTATAATGTTCTTCTATATTAATATATGTGTTTATAAATTTACTAACTAATTATATTGTAAACTTGATAAATAAAAAATTGTATAAAAATTGAACAAGTACTAAAATAGTTGATTTAAATATTGAGAATATATAAGTAGTCAAAATTTACATTTAGTTAATCAAGATTGTGTTCTCATCAGTTTCTCAAAAAAGCGAAACCAGCGAAAAAATATAATCTCAAATAATTACCCGGTATGTCCTGATCACTGGAGTGTGTGATCTTGCTTTTGGATCCAGTCGCATCGCTGGCGACGCCACCGCATGCCGGATTGGCACTCTGATAAGCCGGATTCTTGTAGCTAAAGGCAGCAGTACTGGTGCTGCTGGTGGACGAGAGCATCAGCGGCATCGAGGCCGGCTCGGACGGCAAATCGTTGTCGTGCTCATCGCTCGACAGCATCGTCACGCTTCTATCTTCGCCGTAGCTCGGCTCGGCCAGTCGACCCCGTTCCGCCTCGGCGAGGATCACGTCACCGTCGCCGGGATACTCGCTGTCAGAGTCGACGCTGCAGAACTGGAAGTGCGGCTTGCCTTGCGGCGCCGACAAATCG